CCTGCGAGGGGCCGTGTCCCCCCCGCGCCCTGGGGGTCAGGGGGTGCTGATGCATCCCTTGCAAACTGCCGGTGCAAAAGGCCACACGGCGCCTTTTCCCGTGGGATGACAGACCCTGGAGTGGGGGAAGCTGCTTCCCTGGCTCACATCCCACCCGGGAGCACCAGGTGGACTCCAGCCTCCAGACGGACTCACGACCACAGCGTTCAGCTGAACATCCTCCTCGCTTTTTGCACTGACATTTCAGAATTCTCCCCAAAATGGTGTAAACATTTAATCAACAACTTAAGACAAGTGCCCCTGACTTTTGCTCCTGTGTTCTCAGCACTCTAAATGTCCCGGCCAGAGTGAAATCTCACAACCACGAATTGCTCAACCTTGACATGACTGGTTAAAAAAACACCCAGATGACAAACCCGGTGTTCTTTTGTTGCCCTGTAATGAATGAGTCAGATGGAGGAAAACTGGGATCAGCAATCAAGGCAAAGGAGAGAAAAGGCAGGCACCTGCTTAATCCTGTTCTCCGTGAACGCAGATAACCCCAAAATACTACTGGGAGTTTAAGGGTTTTTCCTACAAGCCTGGAGCTCACGCACTTGGTTTCACAGCCTCATGGCATCCTCACAGCTCACAGGGCACAGGAGGAGCAACAGCTGCTGCCCGGGCACCCTCCAGCCCGAGACAGGCTGGGACATCCTGACCGTGACCCCCGGCCACGCTGGGGCTGATTCTTGGTACCCAGAGGGGATAAACAATAGGTATTGGGTGAGCAAAAACAGCGCCCAGGTTTACAACAAGCTGTTTCCCTGCAGGCTGCTCCCTGCCCAGCCCTTGTCTGCCCCATTACATGAATTTTTCCCCAGGCTCACCCGCAGACCCCCCCAGCCGGGGCCCCTCCCCGGGTTTGTGTTATCCCTGGCTGTGGGCACGGGCTGGACTCGGCTGCCCGGCAGCGCTTCCCCTCCTGGTGCTGCAGGCAGGCGTTTTGCAAAGTCACAGCTCATAATCCACAGATAATAGGGATTAAAATTACACAACCCGTCCGCAGGGCCTCGGGGTCACCTCGGAGGAGCCGCTTTTGCTCCTGGGGGAAGGGCCTGCCCGGGGTCCTCGTGTCCCTGTGTGGCTGGGGCAGGCGGACCCTGCAGCCCAGGGATTTGGGAGCACTCCACCCCCAAAATGGATCAAACCCCATGGATGAGGTGGGTTTAAACACCTCTGGGTGCTGCTCCAGTCCTGCTGCTGGAGACGCTGTGGGCACCCACTCAGCACCCACTCCTGCACCCCCACCAGCACCTCCCACCTACACAGGCACCTCCACCGCCCACAGCCACCTCGCCCAGTGCCACCACCAAGACACAGGGATGGAGGACAGAGGGATGGGAGCGTTTCCCTCCTTCCCTCCCATCCCTGCACGTTACCCCAGGAAGGAGGCAAGCCCAGCTCAGAGGCTTTGACCTGATGGTGGGTGGCACCTCACCTGGCCCCCCGGATGAACCGCGTGGCCGCCTCCACGTAGCGCTCTGCCAGGCTGCTGAGGTTGACGGGCTGCTGGATGATGGTGACGTTCTCAAAGAGAGGAAGGGCCACCTCTGTGTAGCAGTCCTTCCTTGCCACCCTGCCGGGAAGAAGCCACCCCTCACTCATCACTGGAGCAGGAGCAGCACAGAGCCTGGCTGTTCTCTGGCTTTGCAATGAGACGAGGAGGGGAGAAGAAAGGGGCCAACGATGTCCCCATGGCACAGGGTGCTCCAGGCACTGACCCACCACCCCGACCTGCACCCTGATGTGGGATGCACAAGGGGAAACTGGGGACAAGAACCTAAGAGGAGGGCACAGCAGCAAAGGGCAGCAGGAGGAATACCTAGCTCCCAGTGCCATCCCTGTAACCCCCCCATGCCCCGTACCTGGCAGCCGGCCTGGCAGCCGGGCCGTGCCGCGGGCAGGGCGGGCAGGGCGGCAGGTTGTAGCCGGGGGTGTCCGTGCAGCCCATGTCGTGGCTGTAGGGGATCCCAAGGTAGTAGTCGAAGCCTGAGGGGGGAGCGAGCACGTCAGTGGGGCTGGGAGGAGCTCGGGGTGCCCAGCTCACCCCCGCTAGCACCGCCCTTACCGCGGAAGCTGGGGTGATGGTGGCCGTGGTGTCCCAGGTGCCACTTCCCTGTGTGGAAGCCACAGAAAACCATTTCAGAGGTTAAGCAGTGACAGCCACCACCAGCCAAAACCCACGAGGCACCCGCAGCGCTGGGGGCTCTAAGCTAGCGACAGGAAAGGCCACTTGTGTGTGCTGGCTGCATTTCCAGAATGCCTTTCTCTTGTTTTTTCATAAACTCAGAAAAAATGCATCAGGTATCTCATGCCTGTGCAAATCAACTGCATCCAGCCTTAAAAGGCTCTTCCACACATTTGTGCTCGGAGAAGCAGACTTTCTAACCCCTCTCAAACCACCAGCTTCATCCCTGGCACGGTCCCGTTTGCTGAGGAAAGCCCAGCACGCTCCCCGTGAGGTGAAGCAATAGGAGCTTCAATGGAAAAAACCCCAGCTGGGCGGGCCTGAATTTCAGGCTCTATCCTATGTTGGAAAAGGAAGATTTTTAAGCTGGGGATTGCAAAATCCCAAGGGGGACGTGCAGAATCTCTCTCCCACGTGATCCTGTAGACTTGCCTTAATTGCCAGCGTTTCACTTAACTACCTGTGGTACCTGCTTTGAGAGGGGTGGACACGGGCACCCTCGGACCCCCCTGCCACCTCCCACCCAAGATACCCCCTCGGCACGGCACGGCACGGCACGACGGGTGTTACCTATAGCCCCCGTGCTGTACCCAGCCTCCCGCAGGACCTCGGCCAGGGTGGTCTCGTTCAGGGGGAGGCCGCCGACCGACGTGACAGCAAAGTTGTGGGTCACCCCGTTGCGCGCCCCGAGACGCCCCGTGAGTAGGGAGGCGCGGGATGGGGAGCACGTGGATGCGGCCGCATGGAAGTCCACGAACCTAGGAAAGGAAAAGACCCTTCACTCACCAGCTCCTGTGGGTGTAACGCTGCCCTGCCCTCCCTGCTCCCATCCACACACCCCTCCTGCCCCAGGGATGAGGGGGGATGAAGCTCGCAGCTCCCAGCGGGATGGACAGACCTGCACCCCAAGGCTCTGGCTGCCCTCCCTGCACACCCAAAAGCACATGGATGAGATCCCTTTGCCTGCCAGTCCCAGGGAACAAATTCCCCTTTGCTGCAGGACAGACAGATGCTTGCAGAGAGCTGGGGAGGGGGGACAGACGTTACCTCGTCCCTTCGGCCGCCAGCTCGTCCAGATGCGGAGTCTCCTTCGTCTCTGCCCAGTTGGCCCCCAGGTCTCCCCAGCCCACATCATCCGCCAGGACGACGATGAAGTTGGGCTGCCCGTAAGCTGCACAGGGAGCCGAGAGCCCCGCCAGTGCCACGGCCAGCACCAGCAGCGAGGGGGTCCCCATGGTGCCACACGCCCCCTCCCACCCACGCCGGGCTTCGCCAGGATCCCTCGGTGGTGTCCCCAGGGAGCAGGAGAGCTCCCCGAGGGCCCCTGCAGTGACAAACAGTCCCTCCTCAGCCACCCCCACCGGGCCGGGGGCCGGGGGTCTGGGTTGGCTCCCTTGGCTACCGCATGCGCTGGGAACCCTCCTCTGCCTTTTACA